TCCACTCCTTAGAGCAGATCCCCAAATTTGCTGCATGTCACAATCACCTGGCATGATTTTAGAAATCCTGTGCCCAGGCTGCATTTAGACTAATTAAATAAGGATCTCTAGGGGTGAGACCAAGGTATCGGTATCTTAAAACATCCAGATGATTCCCACATGCAGTCAAGCTCTCCAGCCAGTGCAGCCCCCTGCTCATGACCTCTGACTGCCCCTCAGAGGATGCTGACGTGGAGGAGGCCCAGATGTGACAAGACACCTGGCAGGATGTGAGCATGGTGAGCAAAAACCCCACACAAACTTCCCTCCCATAGGCGTTTCCTCCAGGAGAGGGGTCCTCTCCACTCTGGATGTCTACCTCTTTGGTCACAAAGTAAATAAAGTCCTCCAGTAGCCTTACTTGCCCAAGGTGCAGACATGACCTCTTTTCATGTAGGCGGGTAGTTTGGCTCAAACGGTACAAACTGAGGGTGGGCCTTTCTGTGTTGTGGGCCAGGACCCCTAGGAGGGGACAAGTGTGAGATTGTAGCTGATGTTCTCTTTTATGACATCCATATAACTGTAGGGGGACTGCTCTAACTAGACAAGCCTCCCCACAGCAAATAAGTGTTTCCTCATTATTTTGCAATTGTCCTAAGTTGCTTCAGTCATGTCCCACTCTTTGCAAACCTATGGAATGCAGCCCTCTGTCGGTGGGATTCTCCAGGCAAGAATACTGCAGTGAGTGGTCATTTCTTTCTCCAGGGGATCTTTCAGACCCAGGAAGCAAAATCGCATCTCTTATGTCTCCTCCATTGGCAGGCAATTTCTTTACCTCTAACACCACCTGGGAAACCCCAATTTTGCAATAGTTGATATAAAAAATTGCAATTGAATTTGAAATCAAGTTGCATTATCAAGGCATTTTTAATTATTTTAGAAAGAACCTCCTTTTTTTTTTTTTTTCTCACGTCAGAAAGGTAATGTGCCGATGTCGTAACAAGGTTTGGAGGGAGGCACATTTCACGCAGCAGCGTGAACACCCAATCATCATGCTCATGAACTACAAAAGGATCCAGAACCTCCTTTTTTTATGTGAACAATTTTTTAGTCTTTATTGGATTTGTTACAATATTGCTTCCTTCTGATATGTTTGTTTGTTTGGTTTGGCTGCGAGGCATGTGGGATCTTAGCTCCCCAACCAGGGATCAAATCTGTATGCCCTGCATTGGAAGGCAAAGTCTTAGCCATTAGACTGCCAGGCAAGTCCCATTATTAAGGGATTTTTCAACCTAACATTTGTCAGTGAAAGAAAAAAAAGCCATTTGATTCTTAAGTGTCCTTCTTGAATTGTTATTATGTGTTTTAAAATTTTATTCCCAACCTTGAGAGTAATGGCTTTTGTCCATGATGACTATCAAAATTTAAAGAGATCATCATTTAAAATCTTGATCACAATTGCATGTAACTATTTCATGCAGAAAACTTGATTTTTTTAAAAGTATGTTTAAGGAGGAAACCTCGAGTTTCTCTTTTTAAAAAATGTGAAAAGATTGTATGCGGAAGTGTTACGCTTTTTCCTAAAATGATTGTGTAATATTTAAACAATTAATTTTTAGTGTAATTATGAAATGTAAAAATAGTTCTTTTTTTCACCAATACCTGTGATGGTGCCCCCAACCCCCCTCCAGCTCACCCCAACATGCTAAACAAATACCATCGATTTCAGTGTATGCCATGAAGGCTCAAGAGGCACAGCCTTAAAGAGAAACTTTTGCATGAAAAATACACAAGAATGTACTTTATTGTAAGATTCTTTATAATAGTAAACAAACAGAAAACCACCCAAAAGATTGCTGACCACAGAATGGATAAAAGGTGGTGAGCTCATTCAATGAAATAGAATGCAGTAAGGGAAATCAGTGAACTGCAGCAACATGTCACCATGAAGGAAACTCAAAACTTTATACTAAGCAAGGGAAAAAAACAAGTCACAGACAAAAATGTACAAAGTTCAAAAATAGGCAAAACCAAACAACAAATTTGGGGAAGTGGGGAGTTAGTGATGTTTTTTAAGGGAAAGTAGAGTCATTCACTCATTCAAGTCCACTCAAACCTTGACATTTGCTGGGTTTTTTGCCTGGAATACTTTCCCCCAGAGAGAATTTTGGTTTTTCCAAAATAAGACACTAACTTATCTGTGAGGTTTTCCCAGATCAGCTGATGGAAAATTGTACAAGAGAACATCCAGCACACACACACACACACACACACACACACACACACATTCAGACAAATATACCCCCGCCCATACAACACAAGGACCTACATCATGTGCACAATCTATACTCACCTTACTTGACTTTTCTTCACAGAATTCAGCACCTGGCATACAATTTATTTTTTTTGCTTAATCTGTTCCTCTCACCCAAAAGAGAAGAAACTTAATTTTGTTCACTGCTATCTCTCCAGCACCTAGAATGGTGGTTGGCACATACTAGGAATTCAATAAAAACCCATTGGATACTAATGGGAATTTATTTAGCAGTTACTTTATTCAGACTACCAAATTCTAGTGCAGGTACAAGATTTAAAGTCACCAACTTGCACATGTAAAAATGAAAATATTTTGCAATAATTGCATTTTATTTTATTCTCAAACCCTAATTTTCACCGGTTGAAAGAATCTAAAATTTTACATTTCAAGGTAGACCTTTCTCTTCTGGGTTTTTCCCCAGATTTTTTGGGGGGTAAATGGTCAATATAATATTTTACCCCACTCACTGGCCCTCTTCTTGGAGGTGAGCTTAGTTTCTGGCATGGAGGTCTGCAATGCAGCATGAGGGGTCCCTGTCTCCTCCATATGGGCCCATGGCATGCTGACATCTATGACAGTGTTCTTGTCCTGTTGGATCTTTGTTCACAGACACATTTGACCCCATTGCTGCCAAACTGCTGAAATACTAGAGTCAAAGCTTTCCTGTCTGCCTTGAGCATCCTCCTGTACCAATGAGTCACACACCACTGAATATTCCTGAGTAAGCAAAACAGGCTCTTCCATCATACTGAATACTTCCTCATTCTCTAAAATCTCAAAAAACTTTTTCTCTCCAAATCTTGGCTCTAGCTCTATTACCAGAAGTTTTCAAAATAGTTAACTCTATTCAGAAACTTGACTATTCTGAATCCACCATCTCCCAGAACTATGGATGGGGTGAGCAATCTGGGAACAACCAGCAAACTGAAAAAAGGGGGGAACATCTGTTGTTTTCTTGAAATTTTATCTCACCTCTCACAACCCATGGCACCACAAGACCTTAACAAATGGCTTTACAAGTTTAAATAACGCTTTATTGACCTAATCCTTTGGGAAATCTACAGAGGTATTTTTTTCTTTCCAACAGATGTTCACTACCTGCAACTCTCACTTTTTGTTTTTAATGTAGAAATTTTGATAGAAATATTTTTAACATATATTTCACACTTTCCAAATTTATTCAGTGTATAATCCAGAAGATAATGACCTATTTTCAAAAGAAGGTTAGCCCTTCAACAATATCAATTATTATCCCATGCTACTCAGTAGCTCTGGAAGCTGTCATGGGTGAGAGAAATGGGCAAAATGGCTTGGCTTTCACTACATTTTGGCTCATCTGCTCTTCTTTCTTCCATCAGCTGTCCTCAAGGTCACTAACCTGTCTGTTAGAAGTGGTATTTATCATCTATTCTTCTATAACAGGTAGACCTTGCTTCTCCAGATGTGGTCCTTGGACCAGCAGCATCAGCATCACCTAGGAACTTTTAGAAATATCAAATCACGGGCCCTATCCCAGCCCCACTGACTCAGAGTCTGCATTTTATCAAGACCCCAAGGTGATTGATGGGCACATAGTTGATGAAACACTGCTTCAGATTCAGCCCTGACCTCACTCCCAAAGCACGTCAATTCTCAGGCTGAGGTCTGAGCTGCCCCTCCCTTCCACACTCCACAATCACCATTTAGATGCCTTGTGGATTGGTCATTAGCATTGGGTCAACATTACTACATACAGAACAATTTCCAGTACAAGATGAGCTAGGGCAATTCTCCCCAACCCAGAGTTTGGACTGACGTTGGGGGAATGACTCAGGGAGACAGCTAATAGGAAAAAGAATATAATGCAAAAAGCAGCCTGAGACATTTTTATGTACAGAAACCCCATCAACTCTATTGCAACAGCAAATCATTGCAATCATGGTTGCAAACACATACACACTTTGTCCAGCACATCCCCTGCATTGTACTTCTGTGACTTATTTTTATCCATAAACATCCTTTGTTATCTATTATGAACTGATTTCACCTGAATTACATATTTCCCTGAATTAGTAAGATAAGAGTAGACTGGAGAAGAGGCAGGTAGCATGAAATCAGTCGGACTCTTCTCACCCCTGTGTGGATCCTCTAACTATAGGTCGTGAGAAAGTGCCCTGGAAAAAGACAGCTGGGGTTCAACACCTCGCTCTGCCTGTGTCACTGGATGGTACAGGACAAGTTATTTCAACTCTCCTCCTCAGTTTCCTCATTTAAAATATAGAGATGATCAGAACTGCACCTATCTCTCAGAGTGAGGGTGAGAATTACATAAATTAATACACAAAAAGTGCTTAGAACCGTAACTGATACATAGTAAGTGATCAGCAAGTCATTATTGTTGTTAATATTATTATCTCTAAACCTAAATAGAAGGCCTCAGGCCACTTTTATTTCGTCCATAAGGCTTTTTTTTTTCCTTACCTGTGAGACCTTGATTCAATATATTTACCATCTCTGAGCCTCAAGTTTCCTTATCAGTAGAAAGAGGATAAGCATAGCACTTATCTCACAGTGGAGTAAGAGTGGAGTGAGAAGATTTGTAAAGAAACTCACAGGGGAGTACCCAGCCCATGCAGGCTCTGAGCAAATCTTAGCTGCTTTCTCTCCTTCACCGTGAAATCAAGTCGTCGATACAACTAAACAAGATGTGTTGTTTTACATGCAGTTCACATTAAAGATGTCAGTCCCAGGAAACTTCTATTCACCCAGCTTGAATTCACTGGGGAAAGGCTGAATGAGGACACAGTGAGAAGATGGGAAGAAGATCTCACCATAACCCAATCCACCAGCACCTTGATCTTGGATACACAGCCCCCAGAACTTCAAGACAATAAATAGATTTCTGTTGTTTAAACCACCCAGTCTGTAGTCATTTGTGATGACAGCCTTAGCCGACTAATGTAAACCATAGAGACCCAAACAAGTCCACTCAACCACTGAGAGAAATTGCAATGCAGTAAAACTCCCCATAAGCTTCTTCAGAGTAAGACATTTCTGGGACACCTTTTGCCCGAAAGATTATTCCTCACTCACCGACCTCTGTGTTTCAAGGAGAAGCTCCCTTCCTGCTGATTTTAAGCATCCCATAGTATGACAGTCATCGACAGGAAAGGTATTGTCTAATCCCAACCACACAAAGACTCCCTAGGGGCCAAGGACCACAGCCAGACAATTTTACTCCCTGGGCATCTCTGCTCCTATGCGAAGGGGGGCTTATGGAGAAAGGCTTTACCCATGTAACCAAACTGCCATAAGGTAACTGCTAAGACACAGCTGGCACTCCATGCAGAGCACCCGCCGCCACCTGACAACAGCACAAAGCTCGATATTTTGGCCGCACTTCTTTGTCTAACACAAATGATCTTATTTTCATAAGCAGCTGGAGCTGCCAAAAGGCCCGGTGAACAAATCAGCCTGGCAGATGCCACGGTGGGACAGAGAGTATGAGGTCCTGGGATGGGAGCTAGCAGGTTTACACACCTCCCCAAGTCCCAGCAGGCAGAGCCCAGGTGACAGACACACACTGACTTGAATGTTAATGTCAGAGAATGGGACATGGGAGAGACAGAGGTGAAATTGGCATGAAAGTGCTTTAAGGTGAAACGAAACGCCTCTCATCATTTTAACCACCGAGGAGACTTTCAGATTATTCAAAGGCAAATGTGTATATGTTAGTTGCTCTGTTGTGTCCAACTCTTTGCAACCCCAAGGACTGTACCCCACAAGGGACTTCTCCAGGCAAGATTACTGGAATGGATAGCCATTCCCTTCTCCGGGAAATCTTCTTGACCCAGGGATGAAAACTGTGTCTCGTACATCGCAGGCAGATTCTTAACCATCTGAACCACAAGGGAACAGGCAAAGACAGCCTGCAAAAAGGTTGTTGTTCAGTTGCTCAGTCATGTCTGATTTTTTGTGACCCCATGAACTGCAGCATGCCAGGCTTCCCTGTCCTTCACTATCTTCCTGAATTTGCTCAAACTCATGTCCATTAAGTCAGTGATGACATCCAACCGTCTCACTTCTGTCTCCCCCTTCTCTTGCAAACAAGGTACATGCACATCACACATAAAATATGTTTTTAACTGGAAAACCAATCTAGGGCTGTCTTAAATGCTTCATATAGTAGAAATATTTATATTTACATAGAAGGAAGAAAAATGGTTAATTGGATTCTTTTGAATGAAGTACCATTCAAACGTATTTTCATAATAATTGGCAGCTTCTTGCCCAGTCACTCTTGAATCTACAGGAATCCCGCAGGAATGTGGGAATCACCCCTCCTCGAGTGACAGCATCTCTCCATCCTCCACACAGCCCCCATGTCCCCTGGAGAGCTTTATCAAATGCACAGCTCTTCACAGCCTCCCTATGATGGTTGCTCCTTTTTCGTCTTTCAAGTAAACACTACGATCATCAGCATGGCCCATGAGTCCCTTCATGATGGCCTCTGCCTACCCCTCTGCCATCATCTCCTGCCCTCAGATATCATCACACACAATCAAGATCCCAAACTACTCACTCTCACGCTTTCTTCATCTCCACAACTTTACCAATATGCTTTCCTTTTCTACTCTACTGAGTGAGTTATGACCCATTCTTCAACACAGGGGTCAAATTCAACATTCTTTTCAAAGCCTCCCTGATTCTTCTAGGCAGTATTACTTGCCCTTTGCTCTACATCCCCAGAATACACCAGGTGTCCCTTTGACATGAGGTTTAGTATTCCCAGTTGTTAGAATGTCTTGATACAGTTTGACATGATGGGCCCAGGTGGTAGGTACCCTTCTTACCTTTCTTCTCTTTGAGATCCTGTAGGGCAAAGCATATTATCTGTTTGCCTAGAAAAAAAAAAGTTGTTTCCTACTGAAGTGCGTGGAAACAGAAAACCAAATGAAAACCACAAGGTAATCCATAAAACATCTTGAAACATATGGAAAAGGTAATGCTCCCTGAAAATACAGAAAAACATATATCTAAAAATGGCTTTCAACAATGAAAGAGAGAAGGAGGAAGGAAGGGAAGAAGGAAGAAAAGAAGAGGAAAGAAAATTATAGAGGACATTAGCTTGGAGTCTTCAAAAAGACCTCGAGGGCTTGACCTCCAAGAAACAGGATCAGGGAACCGTAAAAACAGAAGACATTGAGATGGAAGAAGAGACGCAAAGGGAACTTGCAGAACTGGCAAAAATATACAAAATATAAGAAGGCAAGAAATACAAAATGCAAAAGTGAAACCAAGAATAAATTAAAACGATAGGCAAGGATATGGGGAAAAGGGAACCTTTGTGCACTGCTGTTGGGAAAGTAGATTGAATCAGCAACTATGGAAAATAGTATGAAAGTTCTTCAAAAAATTAAAAATGCAACTACTGGATGATCTCCCAATTCCACTTGTGGGTATTTATGCAAAGAAAATCAAAGCACTAATTCAAAAAGATATCTGGACTCCCATGTTCTCTGCAGCACTCTTTATAATAGCCAAGATATGGAAACAATCTAAGCATCCATCAGTGGATACATGGATAAAGATAAAGCCATAGAAAGGAATGAAATCTTAAGAAATCTTGCACTTGCGACAACATGGACGGATCTTAAGGGCATAGTACTAAGTGAAATAAGGAGCACAGAGAAAGACAAATGTTGTATGATCTTCCTTATAAGTGAAATAGTTTTTAAAAAGCTCATATATACAGAGAACAGATTGATGGTTCCCAGAAGTAGATGGTAGGTGAAATGGGCAAAGAAGGTCAAAAAGTATAAGCTTCCATGTATAAAATAAAGACCCAGAGAATGTAATGTATAGCGTGGTGAGTATAGTTAACAATATTGTATTGCATATTTGAAAGTTGCTAAATGAGTAGATCTGAAAAGTTTCAATCTTAGGAAAAAAATTTTATAATTATGTATAAGGATGAGGAAAGTTAGACTAGACTTACTGTGATCATTTCATATCCTATGAACCTATCACATCATTACATCATGACATGAAACCAAAATAATGCTATACATCAATTAAGCCACAATACAATTTTTTAAAATAAAGGTAAGCTACATTTTTATGACAAACATCAGAAAATACCATCAAAAATATTCAAAAGAAGGAAAGTTATCCGCAAATTATTCATAACATCATAATTTGTATTTTTTCCAGAAACTTTCCATGCCAATATGTAAAAAATGACACAGCTTCCATGCATTCATACACATATCTGACATCAGTTCTGTAAGTCCCTGTTGATGTTCTGCTAGAGTGAATAAATCTAGCTACTATAAGACATAAACCCAGAAATCTGCATGTTAAAATGATAAAGGGCATTGCTTTCTTAGATCACAGATCATTGCTGACAGCAAAGAGATTCTGGTTTGCACTCCAGGGCTCCTCCCAGCTTGCGATGCTGGAAGCCCAGAGCAACATTTGTGATGTGTCTCCAAGGTCACCATGGGGAGGGAAAGGAGCAGCGTGAGCCTTTGAAGGGACAGGCTTACCTACAAGAGGCAGGCACCCCCTCTGCTCACATTCCTTTAACTCCACGGACTGAAAGGATGAGGATCTAAGATGCAGCTTTGTGCCCACCGTAACAGGAGGCACACAGAAGTTGGTGAGCAGTAGCAGTCTTGGGTTGTGTAGTGGTTTTAAAATATGCCCATAAATTCTCTGATGCTCCTCCCTTCAAAAAGTAGAACCTAATTCCCCTACTCCTGAGTGTGGGCTCAAATTCTAACACATACAAATGGTGCTGTGTGACTTCTAAGACTGGGTCATAAAAGGCACTGTGGCTTCCTCCTTGCTCACCCTGTCTTCTCTCTGGAGTCACTTACTCTGAGCAAGTGCCAGCTGCCACATCAAAAGACACTCAACCAGTCCTATAGAGAGGTTAAGGTGATACAGAATTTGACTCCTGCCCATAGACAGCAACACAATACATTGAGCCAGACTTCCTCCTAACAGGCCCAAGAGGGTGCCATCTTGAAATTCACGTTCAAGCCCCAGTGTAGCCTTCAGATGATCGTGGTCCCAGCCCAGATCATGAGCGCAGTCTCACAAGAGGGCTATACCAGAAGTCCCCAGCAAAGCTACTTGGATTAGACCTCAGAAAACATTTATGTGAGACAATAAATGTTTATTGTTTTAAGTCATTAAGTTTGGGGTAATTTATTATCTATCAGTAGATAATTAATGCAGTATGGATCCACACACATAGCATAATAAGACTAGGCAAGGCAAAGTATCTCTTTATCACTAAATGGGACTTTGAGACTAGACCCAATATGGAACCTTTAATGGAGACTCAGTGGCTGTTCTTGCTTAGATTTGACAGTTATGAGATGTAGGGGCAAAGCTGAGAGAGATACTTCCTCTGTGCATTTCCTTTGGGTCCAAACTCATAACTGTGCCAAGTAAAAACAAGGAAGAAGGAGGTGGAGTATGAATCTGGCGAACAGGCCCGTGGGGGTGGGAGGAGGCCAAGAGGAAACAGCTTATAAGAGGACACAGAGCCTCACTCTTTTCAGAGAGGTAGTCTCCGGAGAAAGGAGAATAAATCTGCAGAAAAGAAAAAGGCAAACTTTCCATTCTGAGCTGCAATCAAAACTTCTTTCCTTGTCTCTCAAAAATCTCCACCTCTAAGTGCTTGGAGTCATTAAATATCCTTGGACTTATATCCATTCACATAAGATTCCTCTGATATCGGATGCAGTGGGGTTAATGCAAAGAAGCTTTATGCTTTCTCTGGAGGCTAGATGGCATCCTCTTCTGGCCTCCTAGAGCTATTGTTCTCTGCTTTTTAATAATAAAGGCTGGGGTCTGATTAATTCTATGATAGAATAACACTTTCT